TATATATATATATATATATATATATATATACACACACACACGCACACAGGAACTAAGCAGCAACAAAGAAAGAGGTAAATTGACACTAGACACCAAACAATGGCTGCAACAATGTTGTTGGTTTCATGGAACAACTTTCAATGAGAGTTGATTTGGTTTTGATGACATCCTTTTATGCAGAAGCATTAACTTTGTGGATACTTAGACAGATACTTCACTAGTAAGGTTTTTTTGCCATCTTAGCAAGAAACAACAAATCAGTTTCAGCAATGGGAATATTGCTATTATTTTTGAGCTACTCCACTACTTTTACTGCCACAAACAGTAATGGAGAACATTGGAGAATATCCAGTACTGAATATCCTTCCATAAGAGCTTCTATTTCTAAAAAATGATCACATCCCTCTTTCTTTTATTTCCGACCTCAAAAACGTACCCTGTTGCTCTGGGGTCAGACACAACACTGGTGTGAAAATGCAGCTACTTTAAGGCAATGGAACAAACAATTGCAGAAATGCACAGTTAATGAAATACTGGAATATTCTAGCATCAGAAAATATAAAACACCACAGACTGGATTTTGGAACTTTTATTTTTTGCAGATAGCTTTCAGTCTGATTCTCCAGCCCACATTGTTTAATATTACACACTTGTTTAGAAATTTCCCAATCTAGTTTAAAGATACCAAGCTCTTTGTTCAAAAGACATTTGATTAGAGATTCATTGAACTGTTCTCCACAATAGTGCACCCTTGGGAGAAGGCACCTCAGTGAATATACCAATTAAGAGTTGCACTCAAACAAAAATAAGCATAAGAACAAACAGTGGCATTAAGAAGCAAAAAAAAAAAAAAAGTAAGTGGAGAGACAATGTGAACTAAAATGCAGTGTTTTAAAATATTATGTATTTAAATTCAAAGCCCCATGGAAAGCATCTTGTTATTTGCATTTTGTTTGGATTTTTGAGGGTAGGTAAGGAAAGGCCAGGAATCTAGGCAAGGGGTAAAGATACTAGGCTGCTAGGTTGAAGTGGCAAATAACTAAGTTAATTCAGAGTTAAGAAGGCTTGATGGCATGTCATCCCCTTTCAAAACATTGAGTTATGCAAAATTCAAATGTCTGAATACCAGGACATGCAAAGTTAATGGTGCCCATGCAATCTTAACTCTGCCGTATTTCACTAATGCCCCAATATGGCTTGTTTACACACACATCTTTACTCTGCCAACTGCACAGTTACGGAAATGTACATGCTCTTCACACCTCCTTTATTTGTTTCATAACCCATTCACTCTCACCCACAGGATTCCATATAACACTGTTAAAGGACAAGAAAGGGGGAAAAGGGTTGCCCTGTATGTCCACCAGGTCTTGAGCTAGAAAGAGGTGTTGTGTCAAGACCCCCCAAAGCTGAATGTTAATAAGCATTTCTTAATAAAAGTATTTATGGGAATAAGGGAAGGGAGCTTTGAAACTTACCTTTTTTCTTTCCCTTGTGATTCTAATTCTAATGGTGCATCTGTCTGTTTTTATCAGAAGCTTCTGGCATGGTGGCCTTGCAGGGTACACCCTCCACACCTGCAGAATACCTGACCCTGATGAGGAGGAGAAAGAAGAGGGTTAGGAAGGACATATTCTGTGAGATCCTGCAATGCATCAGACCATGACCAAAGGATATGGAGGGCCAATATGACACGCAGCATGAAGAAATTCAGAACAGGAAAAAGGCCTGGGGGTCCCAGCAGGAAAAGAAGCAGGAAATGCATAATGGGTCTTTACAGGCAGCAGCTCCAAATGCTGCAGACCCTGATGGATCTACAGGTAACCCCACCCTTTGTCATCCTTGGAGTCCCTTTGCAGTCCACGGAGAAATTCAGTCACTGTTCCTTACACAAACCAACATACCATAACCTGGTACTGCAGCCTGCATCCTTACTCCCACCACTCCACACTGGGGGACATCAAGAAAAATCACTGCTTCACCTACATTGACCCATGAGAACCATAAATGGTGTGTGTGTAGCCACAACTGACTACATGTGTTTACACAAATAGTCATAAATGTTTACTTCCTTTTAAAATTTAAATTCTCACTCCTTTAAAT